AAAAGGAGGGGAAATTGTTGACCTATAGTTGATTTTAAAAAGTTTTGTTTATAACAAACAAGTTAATCTTGTTTGCTAACAAAGCGAATTTAAGTGATTATAGTCTTTTAATGCATATGATGAAAAATTGATCAATGGACGTCAAAAGATCAAAAGCTATCATCACAAGTCAGACTTATGAAGGAAGTCAAGATCTTAAAAGCCAAATTTCGAAGCAAGATCGAATACTTGATCTCTTAGCTAAAATGTAAATGTACTAACACTTTGATATATGACAATGAATGCTTAAACTCAAAATCCCTACATGCATTAAAAATAATTTTGTGCATTAAAAGTTATTAGTATACAATGATTTGATTAAATGTAAAAATGATTTTTAAAAATCATATTTGGAATTGTAAAAACACTTTTTATTTTGAAAAGTTAGTTAAAAAATACTCTCCAAAAGTCCATGCTTTTCAAAACCTTCTGTTGACATCCGACCCTTGACGTCGTTAAGTACAGTTTGTTGTAGGCACTAAGCTTATGCAAATAAAAGCTCGGATATGTGAGATCAGCTCGGATTACGTTATTACTAAAGTTTAATGGGACATAATGATTTAATTTATTTTTACACGTTGTACAAACAATCAATCAACAAGTGACATATGGAAGGTCTTACATCAGCGCCCACCAATTTAACCAATCATACATCTTAACGTCATCCCTAAGTAATACATTAATTGCCATGGACCATATGTAAGGTTAACTCATGATGACCTGATAAGTCGAGCTCTCTAACCAATCCACACAAGCCAATGATGTACTTTCTCACCTCAGTATTGTAGTTGATAAGACAAGGAAATGGAGTATGCATGTAAATCATTCCCTAAAAAGGACAATGAGGGCCTTGAAGAAAGTAGGGAGAAAAAACGGCTCAACGGATAAAATATTCTTCATATTTCAAATATCTCATTGAAGGAAAAAGAGCAAACATTTGTAATTACAATTGTAATTTGCAAATCACTATCAATAAAATTCTCATTTGCATTTCAAGTTGACTTGAATCTTGTTTATACAATTTTCGATGTCAATACCTTCAAATCGAAACAAATGAAGACAAAGTGTAGAAAATGCCAAATTGCCCGGCGGTTGACCGGCTGGGAAAGACGGTCAAATGATCTAAAATATGACCTTTCCGACCTCTAATTTTCTATACAAAAGGCTATGTTGGTCATCCGGACAAGAGGCGGTCAATCGGACGCAGTCATCTGAACTCACAGATTTTTTAACGGTTTGAATTCTATAAATACCTCTACTTCTTGCATTCAAATTGTACTCTTGAAAGCATAAAATTGAGAATTACTTGAGAAAAACTCTTTGTGCTTACATCTTTTTAATTATTCAAATATTTATTTTGAAAACTTTGGATTGAGTGAATCAACTTTTAAAAATTATCTTTTCCATTAAAGTTCTCTCATCTAACACTTGAATTTCATTCATTGCTATTTATTAAAGTGTCAGCATATTTCTTTTTGGGTACTTAATTGTGATCAAATTATTTATTAAGAGAGAAGTTTCAATTTATAAAATCAATTTTCTTTAAACTTGTGGGTTGTGTTGAGGTCCTGTAAAGTTCAGCGTTGTATAAGGATCAATGCTCCTTGTTTGTAAGTTACCGAAAATTTTGTAAAGGGTTGGATTGCACCACAAGCCAACCAATATGGTGAAATTGACATTGCTCGTGTTGGAGAGTTTGGTAGCGGAGGACATAAATCATTGCGTTATATCGAACCTCCGTAATTATATTGTTTGTATTCTCTCACTCTTTACTTATTGCTATCATATTCGTATTTATTATTTGAATAAATATATCTAATTATTACGTGCTTGACTTTAGATTAATTTTTCAAAAAAGTTTTAAAAACCAATTCACCCCCCTATTGGTTAACTATTTTTGGGCTATCAATAGACATACACATTTAGGAAAGGTTTGCACCATAAGAAAAAATTCTGCATTTTACATAATGCATTGCAGTGTCCACAATTTGTAATGAGACATTATTTTTGGAAATAATTGAACACACAGACCTCTACACGACGATATTTTCCATAGATTACTAAAATGTTTAATGATTGTCAAATTCATTTACAACGGAATAATGAAGGAGAAACAACTCGGCACCTTAATTTTTACTTCCCACAAATGCTCAGGGGCGTGGATTGTACCCGTGCCCGAGTAGTACTCAATACCAGTGTATCGCAGCAATTCGAAGAGGTGTTTATGTTCCATTCGTAGTTTATTCCAATACTTTTTCATCGGCGATATATTCCAGTTCTTTCCCACGGAGCTTTTGAACAATTCACAGATACGTTGCCATCCTTTCGTCGAAAAGCATTTGCCTCGTCGGTGGCCTTCGATAATGACAATTTCAAGGGTGACGATGAAGATTTTGTGCTTCGACGTGTTCCAATTTGCAGACTTACGGACCATACAATGGGGGCTACTGCATGTACAATGATGCACGGTCTGGGCTACTAGTGCTATATCGTTGCAACGAAAAATTTACAAAAACGATAAGCTCAAAATTCATGAATCAAAACACAAAGTATTTGTACACAAGAACATTACAGCTTCGTTTGTGGACTAATCCTATCGCGAAAATCATAACATAAAATCATTGGCAGATCATAGTTGCCGTGGAAGAAAAGAAAGATACTGCCATCATACCAAAAATTGGGGCTGAAAATCAGAGATGAAGCTGCTTACCATGTGTTCATGGTAATAGTGCCACTGGGATCTGTCGTTTGCCATTTCTGAGGTCTTCACCTTTGTATTGTGGTCGTCAATGTCAAGCTGCAGAAGATGAAGTTCTTTGGATTTATACACAGAGACAAGTTGGAGACAAGAGATGCTGGCACGGAGGATAGGATTTTTTTGTGGAAATTGCTCTGAAGTGTTGCTCGTTGGTGGAAAACGCAACAAGAGGTTCGATTGAGGTGTGAAAGATGAAGGTCATAAGCTAGCTCTGGGGAGAGGAGGTAGAGAGAGGCAATGCCGCACGAAGAAAGGGAATGGCGACGGGGCATGAAAATGTTGAATGGTCTCAGGTGAAAACGCAACAGGGAGGTTTGATTGGGGTTGCGTTCCACAGATTTGAGTATCAAATGGTAGCTTAATAAGTTATTAATAATCGAATTTATATTAACCTAATGATTATTTAATATTCCCCAAAATAGCCATTGTTTGATGGCCAATATATTTGGTCAAAATAATATTTTGAATGGTAATTTTTAGGAGAATATGTAGTTAAAAAGTGCAAAAAAAATTAGGTTTACGTGCAGAATATTTTATTATGTAAATGACTATGTAAAAAAATGAGTTTTCAAATAATGATTGTTAAAACAGGGCACTAATAGTTATCCAGGCTTCCAAGGCTATTAATTAATAGATCTTTAATTGTAAGTACAAATTATGAATGATCATCATGTATCGTGACATTAAGTGATAAGGTCATTAAGCCCCTATTTGACGACTATTAAAATATATCATTGCCAACCGAACAATACTATGTGTATAGTGGAGTTTTAATTTACAGAATGCAACTTCGCAGATTTTCATCAAGTATTGGACCAAAAAATATAAAAAAAAAAATGCGTGACGAAATAGATGGATTGTTCTTCAAGTACGACGAAATAAAAGGTTTGGAACTATGGATGCAACAGGTCAAAAGATTTAAGTCTAACGTGCAACTAAGTAAAAAGTTTGGAACCCCAACTACAATTTTTTTCTATCAAATATTACCAACCAACTATATAAGGTTAAAATAATTGTTTAGAGTTCTGTCCTTGTGCCATATCAAATCAACCAACGGATTAGATAAAGACGTCTGAAAATTAACGGCAAATAAACAATATTTAAAGAAAATAATCGTAAAAAAGTCATTAACGGGAGACTGATATGTTGAGGACCAATACTGCCATAAAAGATGAACTGGAGACTTCTTTATGTTATTTAGAAACATTAAAGGACTGAGATTGCTTTTCAAAACATGTGGTACCATTACAATTACAAGAGATATTCCAATAATAAATTAGGCAATCATACAAAATATTTAACGATCATCCTACACGCACATCTTGTTTTGCATTTTTTTTTTTTTTTTTGAAATTGTGCCATATGTTCACACATGATTAGACAGTTCAAAAAAACACTTTTTCACCAAACGCTTTTTAAATTTCCACACAATGTCAAACAGATGTAAACGTAGGAAGGTACACTTCATACAATTTTCAATATTAAACTCACTAATGATTGTAATTTCAAATTTGTTAAATAACTAAATAAATGTAAATTTATGAATACACATTATATGAAGACTGAAGTACATATGAATCGAGACGTTTGGATTCATATCTAGCAAGTTTTCTGCAAAATTTAAGTACTTGTTTGGAAGTGTTAAAAAGTTGATTTTTTTTAATTAAAAAAAGTGGTAGATTTCACAAAATTAAGTGATAGAAAAGTGAATAGTAATTGTGCGTCAAATATAATTTGCATTTAAAATTAATTATTAACTTTAATCTCATTTTTCAAACTTTTCCAAACGAGTTATAAGACTTTAGTCACGACATATTTGAACTACGTAAAAAAGTCAGTTTATCAGTAAACAAATTCTACTTTAAAATTATACAAAACTATTTTTATTAATATTGACACAAAAAGGGTAAAGAGAAAAGAGAAAAGGAAAAAGAGAAAAATGAAATTCGGACAACTACGTGTTTCTCAAAGAACAACCCACCCACTGTTCCTCTCTCTCTCTCTCTCTCACACACACATGTTTATCTCTCTAGACTAGACTCTGTTCACGAGTAAAAAGGCCAAGAAAACATCTCCCCCCAAAATTAGGATTAGGATTAGGGTTTTCCCACTCTGTTTTTTTAATTTAAACAGTGTGTCTGTGACATCGAGGGCCCATAATTTTTTCTTGGCCTTTTGAGCATTCTTTTGGGATTTTTGAGTAATGGGTCATCTTTCTTTTCTGATAAAATGGCATCATCTTCACAAGCCGCTGAAGTTCTTGATTTTGCTCTGGGTTTTGTTTTCAGCTGAAAGCGACGTCGTTTTGGGCGCTGATTCGGATAAATCTGCTCTCTTGGAGTTCAAGGATTCAATTTCGGACCCTTCTGGTGTGCTGACCAGCTGGAATTGGAATAATCCGGATCACTGCTCGTGGACCGGGGTATTGTGTGATTCGGGCTATCGGGTCGTGGCGTTGAATATTACAGGTGAAGGTAATTCTTTATCTTGTGCTAGAATTGCTCAATTTCCACTCTATGGGTTTGGAATTAGAAGGCCTTGTCTAAATAGCAATAATAAAGTAAAAATCTGGGGTAAATTATCGCCTGCTATTGCGAAACTCACTGAGCTGAAGGTGTTATCGCTCCACTTCAATGAATTAAGCGGGGGTATTCCTGTGGAAATTTGGGGTATGGAAAAGCTGGAAGTTCTTGATCTCGAAGGGAATTTAATTTCTGGGTCATTGCCGGATAAATTTAAGGGGTTGAAAAATTTAAAAGTTCTTAACTTGGGATTCAATGAGATTTTTGGGGGAATGCCAAGTTCATTGTTGAATTTTATGGGTCTGCAGATCTTAAATTTAGCTGGAAATCAAGTGAATGGGTCTATTCCAAGGTTTATTGGTGAGTTTAGAGATTTGAGGGGGCTTTACTTGTCATTTAATCGGCTTGGTGGATCAATACCTGGTGATATAGGGGATAATTGTGGGAAGCTTGAGCATCTGGAGTTGGCGGGAAATTTCTTCACTGGAGGGATTCCAGAAAGTCTTGGAAAGTGTAGGGGGCTGAAGACACTTCTGCTGTACTCAAATGTGTTAGAGGATGTGATTCCGGTTGAACTCGGTCAGCTGAATCAGCTTGAAGTGTTGGATATTTCTAGGAACAATTTCGGTGGTGCTATACCATCGGAACTTGGCAATTGTACAAAGTTATCTGTCCTTGTGTTGTCAAACTTGTGGGATCCTCTTCCCAACATCTCTAGTTTTAGAGGTGATATCTCGATTGAAAAGTTGGCACTTATTGCTGATGAGTATAATTTCTACGAAGGTACAATTCCAGCTGAAATTACTAGTCTTTCAAGCTTGAGGATGGTGTGGGCCCCTCGAGCAACTCTTGAAGGAAAGTTGCCTGATAGTTGGGGTTTTTGTGACAACTTGGAGATGTTGAATTTGGCGCAAAACTATTACTCAGGGAAAGTCTCTGAGGGGTTCAGCAACTGCAAGAAACTGCATTTTCTAAACTTGAGCTCAAACAGACTGAGTGGGGAGATTGTTGACAAAATTCCTGTTCCTTGTATGACTATGTTTGATGTTAGTGGGAATTTTCTATCTGGTTCTATCCCCAAATTTAGTTACAATTCTTGTGCAAATATCCCGTCCATAAATGGGGATTTCTTGGAGCCACATGATTTATCAGCTGTATACATCTCATATTTTGCAGAGAGAACTCAAGTTGACATCCCTTTGCCATTTTTTGGTGATGATGCGAGTTTTGCCGTGTTCCATAATTTTGGCTCTAACAACCTTACAGGCACAGTTAATTGGATACCAATTGCACCTGAAAGATTAGGGAAGCAGACTGTTTATGCATTTCTTGCTGGTGGAAACCAGCTCACTGGATTATTCCCTGGAAATTTTTTCGAGAAGTGTGATCAGATGAGGGGTATGATGGTTAATGTCAGTAACAATCTATTATCTGGTAACGTTCCAGCTGATATTGGCACAAGGTGCCAATCTTTGAAGCTCTTAGATGCCTCTGGTAATCAAATTACTGGAATTCTTCCTCCTGGTATTGGAGATTTAGTATCACTTGTAGGTCTTAATTTGAGCTGGAACCCATTGAAGGGTCCAATCCCGAGCAGTATTGCTCAAATAAAGGATCTTGAATGCCTTTCTTTAGCTGGAAATAACTTGACTGGGTCTATTCCTGCAAGCTTGGGCCATCTATACTCTTTAAAACTGCTTGATCTGTCCTCAAATTCTCTCTCTGGTGAAATTCCTAAAGATCTTGAAAATTTAAGGAACTTGACTGTCCTCCTCCTCAATGATAATAAGCTATCTGGGCAGATTCCGTCTGGCTTCGTGAATTTGACCATGCTCTCAGCATTTAATGTGTCCTTCAATAATCTCTCTGGGCCACTGCCTTTGAACGGTAATTTGACGAAATGCAGTAGTGTCCTCGGGAACCCTTTTCTGCACTCCTGCTACGCATCCTCTTTGTCATCATCATCTGCTGATCAACAGGGAAGCATTGGGGATTCGCAAAGTTATGCTTCTTCACCACCAACCCAAATAAGTAGGAATGGAGGTTTAAACCCAATTGAGATTGTATCCATCACATCTGCAGCAGCCATTCTTTCAGTTCTTCTTTCTCTTATTGTCCTCTTCTTTTACACTAGAAAGTGGAAGCCAAGGTCCAGAGTTAGTGGAACTGCTAAGAAAGAAGTAACAGTATTTTCTGACATTGGGGTCCCATTAACTTACGAAAGCGTGGTGAATGCTACAGGGAGTTTTAATGCAAGCAACTGCATTGGAAATGGAGGCTTTGGAGCAACATACAAAGCCGAGATTGCTCCAGGAGTCCTTGTGGCAATAAAACGGCTTTCAATAGGACGTTTCCAAGGTGTTCAACAGTTTGATGCAGAAATCAGAACTCTTGGGAGGCTTCGCCATCAGAATCTAGTGACATTGTTAGGATATCATGCCAGTGAATCTGAGATGTTTCTTGTATATAATTATTTGCCAGGTGGTAATCTGGAAAAGTTTATCCAGGAGAGGACCACAAGAGCTGTCGATTGGAGGGTACTCCACAAGATTGCTTTGGACATAGCCCGTGCACTTGCCTACTTGCACGATCAGTGTGTGCCACGCGTTCTTCACCGTGATGTGAAGCCTAGCAATATCTTGTTAGATGATGATTACAATGCTTATTTATCTGATTTCGGACTGGCTAGGTTACTCGGCACTTCAGAAACACATGCCACCACCGGTGTGGCTGGCACTTTTGGATACGTTGCTCCAGAATACGCGATGACTTGCCGTGTGTCTGATAAGGCGGATGTCTATAGTTACGGAGTTGTGTTGCTTGAATTGATTTCTGACAAGAAAGCACTCGATCCCTCTTTTTCTTCCTACGGAAATGGTTTCAATATTGTTGCATGGGCATGCATGCTCTTGCGTCAAGGGCATGCCAAGGAGTTCTTCACGGCCGGGTTGTGGGATGCAGGCCCACACGATGATTTGGTAGAAGTCTTACACCTGGCGGTTGTCTGTACAGTTGATTCTCTTTCAACCAGGCCAACAATGAAGCAGGTTGTCAGACGACTAAAGCAACTCCATCCCCCATCTTGTTAGCATCACACGAGGAATTATTTTATTGACATAGTAATACATAGAAAGGTAAGCCCAACAGAGATTTGCAACGTTCGACTTAATTGCTAAAATGCTGTCTTATAGGTAAGGTCTTAAATTTTAGCCGCTTGTATATTGTAGTGTAGATTACCCCCTTATCAATGTCGTATTTTGAATAAGGGAGTTTAATGATTCTCTTGAGACTGAATGCAAATATTTGTATTGATTTGTATAATTTTTTCTCATTGTATCTCAATTTTATTTATCTTGTTAATAAGAACAAAGCATCGAAATATTCAGCAAAAAATGTTCTACCCCTCTTACTGGATAGGTCGTGAGGTCTCTAATTTTGTTTCATGCCATTGCATTGGTTATATTTAGACCTTTAGGCCGAGGAGCAGCAAATACGATCAGAAATTCTTGTATCATACCGATTTTCTCCTTGTGCTTAAGCTGTGCGCGCTTTATGCTGTTGTGTCCTTGCATAAACAAAGATGCATGGCTGTTATTTCCTGAAATTAAGCTTAACTTGCAAGGGCTATGACTGAGAATGGTAACAAAATCCTTGCAGGATTTATCTAATGTGACCTTGTTCGTTTTAGAACTCTGAAGGCTGGACTGAGGTGGAGATTCTTGGTTAAGTTCTGCAAGTGTTTTGGTGAACCAACCCCTTATACTGGGCAGAGGATAACCCTCCGGACCAACAAGATTTCCATCTCAATAACTTCAGTCGGGTACCATCTGTGCCCGGACATACTCTTCAGGTCCCCAAGGTGTACAGCCACTGGTACATGGAACAACGTAGGCCAGGAAAATCGACAAAATGGTTTTGTGGCTTCTGTCAAGGAATAGGCCTTGAAGACTGGGCATGAAACCTGTTTGCAGGGCTCAGAAGTGATGGCAAGAGAGATTTTTCAGGATTCAACACTGTTTTTCAAGTAGAGGATTGTCTGTTTTACCCAAGCTATGCAGAGCATTTCACCAGCTCGACTGAAAGACGAAACCTCAATAAAGTCCAGAGCATTTTGCATACGATGCAGTTAATGCAACACTAGTCAAACACAGAACATTGTCACACCGTCAAAGATCACGAAGCTTAGACCAGGAGCCGTAGTGCCATACAAGAGATATTTTCTGGAGACGAGCTATATTAAATACAAATTTAGGTCTCCACAGTAAAACAAACAGAATTTTAACTTTTTCATTTGATTTTGTTACCATAAGTTTAACATAAGAAAACAAAACGATGATGCCAAATAAGATATTGTCAACCAATATTGTCAACCAGTATTCTACAAGTAGCATGATTCAAACTTGGATTCTAAACCGAGAATAGGATATTATTTTTCACAATTGTGTAGAGGAAAACCATAATATATAGGAGATAATGACATCAAAAACTTAATTCTAAGATGAGTAGGCAACTCGATTGAAGCACCCATTTAGTAACCGAGAGGCCAGTTGTTCGACTCTAATCGAGAGCAAGCTGTTTCTCTTCCTTTTTCTTCTAGATAACTTGCCGGATCATTGCCAAAACAAGAAAGAAAAATAAGTCTTTACACCGAAAGGATTGGCAGAAAAGGTACTAGGTACTACAAGAACGGAGAATGGTTAACGACTATGTGCCTCAACGGATTTGCCACATCATTTCCGCCAGCATGCTTCACAAATTCAGCCGGGGAGAGAAACCTGCCATGACAAACACATACTATTTTGACCTCCTCTCCCTTCTTGTATCGGTATAAGAATCCTTCTATCTTTTTACCATTTGGCCCGTCACCCATTGTGGAGACGAATGGCATATCGAGCATGACATTCTTATTTATTTCTTTAGCTTCCTTCTCAGCAGCTCGGACAGGCTTGTGCTCAATCTGTGCTGGCAAAGATTGGACACTGGGAGGGCTCTTCGCCTCAATGCTTTGTTTTACACCTGTAAATAAACAGGATATGAATGTTAAACTTCACAACATTATCATTGAAGAGAATTATTGTTCAGATAAACAAGTCAAAAGAGTACGATCAACTGCAGTTATCTGCGAACAAGACCGCAACTGCAAGCTACAAAAAGATTACTGCTCGTCTCCTAGAGTGCAATCACCACTAAATACCTTTCTACCGATTCTCAACACGAGCAATAACGGAGAGAAGCTTCCTTTAAAACAACAAAAACCAAGTCTGAATTTAGGTAGGATTGACTACATGAATCCATTTTCCCCCATTTGGGGCGACTACTTGAATCCATTTTCTCCACTCCGCTCAGTTCATTTCTAGATTTACTGAAAGATTTAACAAAACTACTTTATCTTTTCCTTCTTCTACCTAGATCTAGTCCCTAAGTTCAACCTAAAAAAAAAAAGAAAGAAAAAAAAAGCAGAGAAGCTGATATGCTATAACAATCAAGATGCAATTAAGCAGAAAACAGCACAAATTTCGTAAATCACAAATCAAGCAATTCATCAACCCAAACAAGTAATGAAAACAGAAGGGAAAAAAAAAAAAGAAATTAAGCGAAAATATACCTTCTGAGCGTTGACTTCGAAGATCAGAAATTCCTGAAGAACCACTTCCCTGTGATCCAATTGAGCCCTGTGATTTCGGAATCTCATTCCCAAGTGCATTAACATTAACAATCCCAATAATTTCAGATTTATTGTTATTTTTATTATCTTCACAAGAATTTTCCTCCAAATCAACCTTATCTTTCACCACTCGTCCATTATTCAACTTCTCTAATCTCTTCCTTTTCGCCTGCATTCGCCTTATTGACTGCAACTCCCTCCTCTCCCTCAGCTCCTCCTCCGCCTCGACCGGCAGCGAACAAGTCCTCGTCAACGGCGCGTACACGTCAACCGACACCCCCACTGCTTGTCGCCCACCAGCACCCACCGTGAAAACCAAATTTGAAATTGAAGAAGAACGTTTCAGTTTTTTCGCTGCCCTTTTCGGGTCCACGCCAAATCTTCCATTCGTAGATAGTCCCAAACTCAACTCTATTTCTTCATTTTCATCCTCCTCTTCTTCTTCATTTGAGAAACGTTTTCCGTTCATATATTTGTGCAACATATCCATTGAAAACCCATTCATTTTCATGGAAAGAGCATTTTTTTCTCTATTTTCATTCATCATTCATACATAAAACAAAAAAACACCCAGATAGAACAAAACAGGAAAAAGAAAACTTTTTTATGAAAAGTAGAAAATATTTGTGCAGAGGAAAAAGGAAAATGTAGAGGAAAACTTGGGGATAAAAAGAGGGAATTCAGAGTTCTTAATTTCAATGGCGGAATATAAAATGACGAGTTTGTCCCTGAAGAGTAACGTAAATGCCTTGGAAATGTGAAACGTGGTCGTACTGACCAGGTCTCGAGGACGTCTCATAAACAGGCGTCTCCCGTTTGGTAAGTTTAAGGGAACGTGTCGGTTTCTGGAGGCTAAATAAGACTGCCACGTGTCCATGACATATCGTCCTCGTAGAGCCGCGACGTTCTAGTTTCTCTCTCTACGATTGCTGCTAGCTGTATAGCGGCGTGGCGAGCTTTTAAGCTGACACGTGGAAAGAATTCTTTGATATGCAAGCTGTTGTACTCGCGATGACACGACGACACGTAGATTCTTTTGTTGTTTAATTAAAATGCATAAGGACTTTGCTACGTACCCGATTAAGACCGAAAGACCCTTTCACTATTAAAGCATTAAAATCACACTTTTACCACTAAGCCCCTGTTTGACACCCATTTTTTATCTCATTCTCATTCTCATTTTTTTACAGTACTCATTTCTAACCACACATTCTTCAAATAAAATAATGTTAAGANAAATAATGTTACACATAAACCCAAAAATTCTTCTTACTTTTTAACCACACATTCTTTACATCAATCACTATTCAAAAACTCATTCTTCAAAATAATGGGTGTCAAACAGGGCCTAAATTATACTGGTTTACAATGCGATTATTGTATACAGACGGACATTTTGTCGAACAGAGTGTTGTGAGCCGGATCCATGATTTTTTTATTGATTATGGGGGGCCCCTCTTTACATCGAGATATCAATTTCGATGTATAAATCGCAAAATTCGAAGCATAAAAATCATATCCATACAAATTGTTATTATTATCGAAATTTTTTTTATAACAAATAAACAAGTTGTTATTAAAAATAATAAATAATAAATTTATTGTGATTGAATTTTGTAACTATGATCCAAAAGTTTAAGTACAAAAATTTGAAAGCAAGAAAATGATATTTATTGCTAAATTTAAATTATGAACAGAGTAGGGAAATATATCAGCTATATTTTATGTTTTTTAATAAGCAAGTGGGGTTATTAGACAACATTATGACATGATCCATTGTATGAAACAAATCTGTCTCAAAGATAGTTTTCACAAAGTAAATAATTCATGCAACTTGCACACCTTTTTCATAGTAATTTAATGTCAATTTGCAATGAATATTATGTCAATTTTCAAAAGAAAGATGTGAAAACAACCCAAAAGCTACATTATTGTCATTGTTTTATGTAAAACTTAACTTTGTACTTTTATTGATTGGAATTTTCACGGAATATAACTTGCACGAGATATGAAAAAATTCCGTTTGACTAAGAGCAGATGTGTCAAATGACATTTTAGTAATTTTATTATTCAAATGCATTCAAATCAACGTTGTGATTGATTAGATACGCTAGATACGATGAAGTACATAATATTTTTTTATGGAAATTTGCATTTTTCGACTCCAATTTTTGTGAGGTGTGACAAATGCACTCCCAACCGTTTTTAGAGCATAATCCATTTTCCACCTTTCCATTATAGCAAAACTTGCACTTTTCTCCGTTTTGGTCATTTAATGACGGTTTTTCATCCTCTTTAAATGAAAAAAGTACAAGAGAGTAATAGAACAACAAAAAAATAAGAGAAAATTGCGAAGGGAGACCCGTAACTTTTTAAAAGGTACAAATATATTCCACTCAAAACAATTAAATACATATTAAACATAAAAAATAAAAAATTGAAAAAGTAATCATTTCATCTTTTTCAGTCAAACTTCGCGATGTCAAAAAAGTTCTGCAGCCCGGACTTGGCCAGAAAAAAGCTCGAGTCAGGCCGACTCGTGGCTTGGTGGCATCAAGCCAAGGCTCAGGCCGAGCCCCATTTTGGGGCATCGCTCGAGCCCCGAGCTAGCCCGGGTTGGTCACCAGCCTATGTCATGGGCTGAGTCGAGCTTTTTTTTAGTTGAGATATATTTTTTTATATATTAATATTTAATTATTATTTATAATACGTATAAATTGCACAAATTTTAATTTTTTTTTTTAAATTTTTTTTTATATTTTTNTTAAATACATTATAAAAATTATAGATTTATAACGAATAAAAAAAACACGAACCAGCTCGACCCGCTAAGGCTCGAGCCGAAAGCTAGGGTTTTTTGATCGAACTTTTGCTCGGTTCGAGTCCAAAAAAGTTTGGACCTATTTTGCTCGAGTCGAGCCCGAGCTTTGAGTTTCGACTTGTGGCTTGACTCGACTCGCTGATATGGCTAGCCAAGCTCACCCACCTACCAAATCAGTCGGCGGTAGCGGTACCACCTCCACCTTAGAACAATTAATTTAAAAAAAAAAAAAAATTGTTGGATGAAAAATCGAAAGCAGGTTTGTTCGCAAAACTACCACGGAATGTTCTCCACCATCCATTTGCAAGAACCAAATCGCATCCATATCGCAAAACTTAAATAGAGGATAACGATTTTTTATCCAGTCAATTTTTTGAATTATATTTTATAAGGCAGTAATGGTACCATTGTCATTTTTACCAGCGCGATTGCATTTGAAAAGATGATCTTCGATTGCTTTTGAGAGTAATAGGGTAGGGTTGGATGTCAGGGTAAGTGTGTGAGCTTGGTTAGGGAAGATTAAATTTTTATATTTTTTAAATTCTTTTTCTGTGTGAATTAATAGGAATTTAATTATTTTAAGTGAAACTTATTTGTACTTTTTCAAAAGTTAAGGAACTCCTTTTACAATAATTCCTTACTTATTGTTTTTTATTACTTTCTTTTATTTTTCTTTATTTAAGGAGAACAAATCAATTATTTAATGGACAAAATGGAGGGAATGACGAGTTTTGCTATATAAATTGAAGGTTGGGGATGAATCTTGCTAATTTGTTACATTTTATCGAGGTTGAGGACGAAATGTGCAAATTTGCCTTCTTTTTATAGTTTTCGTTAAGTTATATTCAAAGTTCAATTTATCTAGATTCGATACGGGATGTCAAAGCCCAAATTCGACTTACGGGCCATCAATATTCTTTCCTTATTTTCAAACAAATTAGAATCAACTTTGTGTGATTCGATGAACATACCCGTAACCCGTTGCTGATTTATTGTAATTTTCAAATAAAAGGTGCTCTTGGCTTGATTATTGTTGGATCTATTCAACTTGAAACTTCCATTTTCGGGTTCGTTGTAAATAGTCAATGATGATGTTCGAAACAAAACACTTGAAATTTTTTGCTTATTCTTTAATTTAATATTGTCTGATCTAACTTATCAAACTTAAGTACTTCTTTATGAATAGAAAATCTTAGATCATTGATGACCAAAATAAAGTTAGCTAAATAAAATAATGGGGTCCATAAAGAATTTTTCCAACAAATTGTAATCGAAGATAAGATATAAAATCAAGAAAGAGATCTAGATTGGACCCTCACAACATCTCAAAGGGGCTTCAACTTGCACTTTTGAAAAGGTAGGGTGTCTGCCACGTGTTGGCTATCTGTTGTGGAATCACACGTGTTGAGCTGTTGTCGCAGATCAACAGCTAAGCCGAACACAACTTGCTGAAAGCGACGTCGTGTTTGAATAGCCAAGTGGAAGTTAAAAATAATGATTACGTCATGCGGCCACCTTACGCACTCGTCTTGTCAAATTTTTTCCGGTTTATCGATCGGCCGGGGACTTGTTTGATTCACTTCTTTGTTTCTTTTTTTTTTTTTTTCTCACAGTTAATTTTGAGGAGAGTGAAAGGGACAATTGACTAGTGATAAAAATGAGTATTTGAGAGTGATTATTACGAGTTCGATACGTTTATTGATTATTTTAGTTGAAAGTCTGAAATTGGATGAAAACGGATGAAAATGAATGATAATTGCTCAAAACGATCGAATTGGACAGATTTTAAAAGTTGGGCATCATGGATATCAATCGAAGTATCTAATGACTCAATCTGAACAAATAATAATAATAATAATAATAAACAGAAACAAAGACCAAATTGTACAAGTAAAAATATAAATTTCAACAATTTGGGATATATTAATTAGACTAAAATTATGGTTCTCTATCATCTTATTACTTTATTTTAGGCCTAACTTATGTCTACAAAGAGGAATCTTTCATTCAAATAAAAGGGAGGCTAGAGGTACAATTGTAGGGCGAAATTACACATTCAGATCTATTGAATATTCAAAAATTATATCTCAATTTGAAATTTGAAGGTTGAAAAACACAATCGACCTAGAGAAACACATGCTTTGAAAGAAAATTGAAGATCTTTGTTGGAAATTTGGTGTGAAGAATAACAACTGCTCGATTATTTTCTTCATTTATTGTATTGAACCCGGTGATGTTTTTAATCATTTTGTTATTTAATTTTAATTATATGATTGACTAAATAAATTGATTGTTAGGATGAACGATGTAACTTATATTCAATATTTGTTTAATTCAATTGATATTTACAATTCTGATTGTCTTAATTGTTTACTGTGTGTTTAATTGATATTCAATTGCTTGATTTAAGAACAAAATTGATATCTAATTCATGCAATAAGTAACATAGTTTGTGAGATCGAGAGATAATTATAGTATGTAATATTGATTGAATTCCTACGAAATAATGCTTCTATATGCGTATGAATTTATAGAGGAAATAAATCTAGGTTTGTGAATGAATAATGTTACTTGTACATAATGAAATTATATAATGGTTTATATACAGATAAGCTATCAAAAAGAGTGAAGATTTTTTTTTTTTTTTATCTAACCAATCATATCCCATCATATCATGTATAAAT